AATACTGTTTGGCCAATGAGACAGCAAGTTAGACGGGACTGGAAGGCAAAGAGGATTCTGGGAAATGTAGTAGAGAAGAGGTGATCCAGGCAGGAAGTGACATAGCAAGGAGACTCATATTTAAGTGAAGGAGAAACAGGAAGGGCCCCTCTTTCCCCTTCGCCTCCTCCAGTGATACAATGTGATCCACCGACAAGGAGGGACGCAAATAAGGTGTCCGATAAGATAAGTCTTATAAAATATATAGGTTTATGATAGCTAAGACTGAGCTAACAGATGAGAATCCTAGTCACTGGCCAAGCAGCATTGAACCTAATACAACTCATTCTCTGTATTTATCTGGGCCTAACTCGGGCAGGCGGCTGGCGTAAAGCTCACATGTGGCGGTGGGGCTCAGGCGGCTTTTAGCAGAAAGATTTATCGTAACAACAAGGGCAAAACTCGCTTATATTTATATCTTGACAAGTTTATCAACCACTAAAATCTGTAGGTATAGGCGTGAGTGCTGGCCTAGAAAACATAAAAACCTGGTTCAATTTCCAAAACTGAGGGGGAACGTACAGATTTAGAGAATAAAAATCATTACTACCTCCAATACTTTGTTTACAATGAAAAATGTTGAAAAGCAGGGATCTCACATTTAGAGCTTTAGTCAAGTCCCTTTTGTTGGCCATCTGACACTAGGTAAGTCTGAAAATCATTTTAAACCCTAGTTTCCTCCTTTAAAAACATGAGGACAAAAATACTAACTACCACACCTGAAGGAGAAAATGGTTGTTGACAAATACAGGAAATAATGCTCATGAAATCAAGTACCAACTGTCATTTAAGAAAAGCAGCTCGAGAGAGAAAGACATCATTCAACAGAGTTCAAGCAGAGGGGTTTTCTTATTATGGGGAAAGGACTGTAAAAAAAGGGAAAGGGAAGGGGGGTGATGGGCCTCCAAAAACTGGAGCAGCAGGGGAGAGAGGAAAGAGGGAGAGGAAGGGGGGGACATGAAAAGAGAAACAGAGGGGGGGCAGAGAAAGAGAGAAACAGAGCAAGGGAGAGGAAGAGAGGGGAGGAGGATGGGAGGTGGGCAGGGCCCTTTTAAAATGGAACGTAGTGAATGTGCACAGATGTTTGCTCTTAGTGGCTGTCAGAACCCCAAGGATAGGCCGGTACAGGTGCCCGAATACTAACACCAATGACTCAGCAGGCTGGGACTCAACACAGACTCTGGTAGGCAGGGGCCATAGTGTCACTGTTGTTACCACTCTTTAGGAAAAGCACACTTAATACTTATGAGTAAAATGTGACCCAGAATATTTGAGGTTTTCTTTAAAGAAAAATACATTGTTAAAAGGTTAGGAATCCAGTTACAGGGTTTGGTTACCATTTTCCGGCTTCTAAGATAATAAATGTGGCTAGAGAGATGGCTCAGCAGTTAAGAGCACTGTCTGCTCTTGAGAAGGACCCAAGTTTGGTTCCCAGCACCCACATGGTGGTTCATAATCTTCTGTTACTCAAGGGGGTCCAATGCTCTTTCTGGCCTCCATGGGCCAGTGTTGCAAGTGCAAACACTCATACACCTAAAAATCAACCTTTCTTCAAAAGACATGAATGTTAAGTGTGAGCAGTAGAGAGTGACTAAAGAGCGAAGGTGATTTTTTTTGCTGGTCTTAATGTATCTTCCTTGACTTTTTTCACCTAAATTTTATAGTTAGTGTTTATGTTTAAAATATAGAAGCCCATGACAATAAAAAAAAACTATGAATAGAATATTCTATTTGATTATCAGCATGGCACCCACATTTAGTAAAGTAAAAAGGGGGAGGGGCTTATTAACTTAAGTAAAAATAGATACTAAAAACCTTAACCGGAAACAGAAAGAGCCCATCAGCCATAGAAGACACATAAACACAAACTGTAGGAAAAGGGGATTCCAGACAGAGCTGACCTGTTCTCAGCAGAGGAGCTGCGGCTTCCAGGATGGAGATGCAGAACTGAGGAAGACTAAGTTGCTGGAACTGCAACTCCAGCGCATCCTCTGCTTCCAGCTCCTGCAGATCTACGTGTGCCCCATCCAAAGAAGGAACCGATAGCCTAGAGTTCACGTGTGCATGACTGCTGCTGCCACTGGAAAGCGAACAAAGGCAGACCTTGAGTAACATGCAACTGCCAGCAGACTTGCTGTTTTACCTGTGGCTCCGTAGAACTCACACCACTCACAATCACACTGGGTCATGAGAGAATCCTGACCAATTAAACTAAATTCCATAGAGAGAACTTAACACTATACATGAAGGAATGTGGCATGCAGCTCAGTGACACAGCACTTACCTATCATGTACTTGACTGTGAACTGCAACACCACAAAAGAAAACTTGAACATGAAGCAAAAATACATTTATTTATACCTTGCTTTTCATATTGATGATTCTGAAACACCAGCATTCCCATAGCAGCAAACATGCACAGCAATAACCCACTCACTTCTCAAACAAAACAAGGAGGCTTACGGCAAAGCACTGACAGGAGCAAATCATGAAGATAAAACCAATTCATGAAGTTGCCGAGGGCTTCTGTGGTTTACAGCTAATGTTCTAAGTAAGCCAATTCGAGAAACGGGAGATGGCCTCAAAGATCCCATAGGAAATGGGCTACTTTACTGGTATATCCAACATCATAGAATGATTATGAAAAGGCTTTCTCCATTAAAAAAATTCTTACCTTGAGTCCTCAAAACTCTGACTTCTGTTATCCACAACTATAGCTGAATCACTGAGATACGCTATTAGAACATTTAAAATGGAAAGGATTTTATGCCTGTTTCCTTATACCTTAGCTGCAAGATCCCAAGCATCCCAAAACATTGAAGTAAACCACCCAAAGTTTCTCTCAGTATTGACAGACCCTGTGAGGAGACTGTTCACACACCGAGAACAAGGCAGTAAAGCATGCCTGGTGGCAAGGTAAAAAGAAAGCCCATAAGCACTCTACTCTCTTGCTACACACAGCCCCAACTTTACTCCTGAGCAAGTGCCATGGATTCAGGTGTTTCTGTAAATAATGGCAATAATAACAATGCCTATCCTATTATAACACTGTCTGAAGGTGACAAAGAGATCAAGAATATAGAACATGTGGTACAACCTGAGTACCTGAATCTGTGTGAGCTTGTAGGGCAGCAGCAGCAACAACCAAGTCAAGACACAGGCTACCTTACTGAACATCATGCAAGAAAAGGCTACTGTGTTACAATATTTATGACCTAGTATAAGCAAACACAGAAATCCAATGGCATCCCTTCAAGCAAACATGAAAAATCTGCGATCTCACGGATAAATGATGACCCTTGAAAATCCTTTCCAAATACACAGGATTTTAAATTATGATTAGATGTACAAAAAAATGTGTATAAAAACACCATTTTAAAACTGTAAGTCAGGTATCCCAGAGTCAGCTTAATGGATAAAGGCACTTACCATGAAAGCCTGATGACCAGGGTTAACCCCAAAAACACATGTAAAGGTTAAGAAGAGAATCAAATCCACAAACTGTCCTCTGACCTCAGCGCATATTGCAGAGCATGCTAGTCCCTATGCCAACTGCCCCCACACACACACTTGAGTTTTTTAAATATATCATTCATTTAAAGCAGTGGTTCTCAACATTCTTAATACAGTTGCCCATGCTGTAGTGACCGCCCACCATGAAATTATTTTCATTGCTATTTCATAACTATGATTTTGATACTATTGTGAATCGTAATGTAAACTCTTTTTTGAGATAGAGGTTTCTCAAAGGGGTATGGACCAACAGGTTGAGAACCACTGCTTTAAAGCCATGATTTTTAAAAGTAGGTAATATTCTATGTATATGTGATAGAAATTATTTCATGGATCAAAACCATTTATTTAAGGAAATAGAAAGAAAAAGAGAATTATAGATTGGCTGTCAGAATACCAGTTCAAAGTAAAATGCTGTCAACATGCTGTTTGGGGTAACATAGAGAGTCAGAAAGAAAATATAAATGGTACTAAGTGCAGAGTTTCAAGGTAATATTTGTTAACCTGAAGATCATGATAACAAATCCATGAAAGTCAGTTTAAGCAAGCAACAGTTCAAGAAAAGACAGGAAGGAACAATTCCCTCCTCCTAAAATACAAACACAGACACAGGAGCCAGTCACCTGGAAGATACTGCATCCCAGTCCTGACCATCTCCTCTGAGCCTCTGGCCTGTACGCCCAACCACAGAAGGCCGAGGACTGCTGCTTCCTGGAGACGGGTTTGGGGAATGGGAAGTACCTCTTGCTTCATGACAGTAAGATAAAGAAGAATTCTGGGAGATTGTATCTGGAAAAATAAAGAACTGTAATTACCCCTTAGCAGGAACAGGCTTCTGATAATGTGAATTATAGCCACCAGTCTTTCAGAAAAATTAACAAGAGACAGAATGATTCTGCAGGGACAAAATTCAAAGAGAAGGTCAGCCTTTCCAGCAAATATTCACACAGCATATTCCTGACATGATTTTAAGAAACTCTGGGTAGTGACAGCAAGACTGTGACACAGAACAACATTTGCTAACACCTCCTAGCTTTAAGCTCTCAAAGCACCCCTTGCCTTGGACCACATACAAACATTAAACAAAATGAAACAATCAAATACGAACTAAAGCCATAAATGCTTCTCCAGCCAAAAACAGAAAAATCCTCAAAGTAATTACTCCCTAGATATCGAAACCAAAAGTATGAACAAACAAGTAAAACAGATAAGCTGACTTCGTCACATATTAAAACTTTTGTACAACAAAATATGTTACAAGAAAGTGTAAAGACAAAAAAACAGACTGGGAAAAATATTTGCAAGTATATATCCAGCAAGGGTTTAACATTTTGAATATATTAGTAACTCCTAAAATTCAGCAGTAAGCAAAGAACCACCTGAAAAAAAAAAAAAATGGGCAAGGATTTTAATAGCCATTTCTCCAAAGAAGACATAGAAATAACAACCAGCACATGAAAAATCACTAGTGAGTTTGTCACCCACTGTTAGTATTTGCAGATGCAAATCAAAAGGACAGTGACAAACTACTTGGCACTTATGATAAAGAGCAAGAGCAAGCAAAAATGAGTAACTACAATTGCTGAAGCTTTATGCAGTACTGGTGGAAATGTAAAATGATGCAGATACCATGAAGGGCTTGTAGACCTTCCAAAGCTAAAGAAAGACCTAGCGTATGACCTTCAGCTCCACTCCTAAATGCTTAGCAGACTCACAAACACACATGTAGGACACTGTACATTGACATATGATCCAACATAGATACAACACACATGTCCCTCAAGAGATGAATGAATAAACAAAATATGGTACACGCATACAATGGAAGATGATTCACCAACAGGAAGGAATAAAATACTGGTATATGGTACAATAAAGACACAGCTTTAAAATATTACAAAGAAAATAAGCCAGACACAAAACGCCAAATTCTGTATGATCTCACATGTATCTAGACTAGACAAAATTCACAATGAAATAGAGGTTATACGGGGGTTTAAGGAAAGAAGAAATGGGGAGTTATTAATGTCTCTCTTCAGGGTAACAAAAATGTCTATAAAACTGTGAGCTGTAAAACTGGGCGTTGGTGGTGCACACCTTTCATCCTAGCACTTGGGAGGTGGAGGCAGGCGGATCTCTATAAGTTCGAGACCAGTCTGATCTACAGAGCGAGTTCCAAAACAGCAAGAACTACCTGAGACCCCACCTCAAAATAAAATAAATAAATGTACATGTTCATATATATCTCTAAAGACACATGATAGTAAAAGAAGATATAGTATCATTTCATAGCACATGTGTATGTATTTACAAACAGCTATAGATAATAATAAACACATGATAGATACACAGACACATTGATAGATGATAGACTTACAAGAGCAAAAAATGAACACTTCGCACATCTCACAAGACTTCAAAAACTATGAAATGCTTAGCCCGTATAAGCTTTCTTACTTCCCTGCACCTTGGATCATGACACCCTGCTCGCCCAGGCCACATATGCCTTGCTCAAGCACATTACCCATTTGGTGCCTTGGACTCGGACTTCCCCTGGAACACTCTTCTTGCAACTC